TTAACGATTCGCTTTAATGGAATCGCTTTATGTTGAACGAACAGAGATAAAGCAGAAAGGAGCTACCGAACTGAGGTTAAGTGAAAAGTCAATTCGTGTAAGTTGCCTGTTACTAGGAGCGCTACGCTACTACGCCATTACATACGTTACTAGTCAGCCATTATTTAACTTCCACTGCAAGACAATAATTCAACAATGCTACAACTGTTAAAGTTCTACTGCCATGCCAGGCACTTGAATCCACTAGTAATGTTTTCCTTTGCTTCTCTTCTTCAACATTACAATTATTCTCAACATCTGGGCTGGGCCAGTGGGCCCTAATTTCTATAATGTTCGTTCCGTTTCAATCAGTGTTTCAATGCCCAGGATTTATATCCCGAAAATGGGAATTTTAGACTTTAAGCGGGAAACGGGAATCGGAATTTGCTGCTTTCCATTTCCATATAAAACTTATTATTGGTTGGATAATTGTTTACGACAGTGTTATTGCAAGATGTAACTGTCATTTAAATAGTCTTTTCCATGTCATAAAAGGTTTAAAGGTAACACCAAATCGGATAAATCGGAAAATGTCATGCGGGATAAAGCGGAATTTTAGATACCTTAAAGTGGGTTGACAGGGTGTCCACCGACCGGGAAAACCGGGAATTATGCATGAATTATTTGAACCGGGAAAAAAACCGGGAATTATGCGTGAATTTCGTATTTTACCTGGAATTTTCAATTTGCCACGATCACGCATGAAGATGACGTTTCCGTGACCGCGGGAGAGGACGATGATGTCCAAACGGCCGTACGATCTGTTAGTGATTTTGCCACGATCGCGATCCCGCATGACGACGTATCTGTGACTGTGGGAGCAGACGATGACGTTTCCTTAACCGCGGGAGACTACGATGACGTTTTAGTGACTGTGGGTGACGATGATGACGTTTCGGTGACCACGGGAGCAGACGATGACGTTTCCGTGACCGCGGGAGCAGACGATAACGTTTCCGTGACCGCGGGAGACGATGATGACGTTTCCGTGACCGCGGAAGAGGATTATGATGTTTCCGTTACCGCTGAAAAATTCAGAATTTGGTCACGACCACAAAAGACATTGGTGATGTTTCTGTTTCTGAATGAGATATTCAGGATTTTTCAGTTAACGCAGAAAACGATGATGGTGTCTCTATGAGAGTGTTAATGATCACGATATAAACTCGAGTTTGACTTGACCAAAAATTTCAAAATGGCACACTTCTAGAAAGTTTTATTTTTTATATTTTGTAATATCTTCATTTACATTTTAAGGTTGTATTTATTTACTGTGTTTAGAAGGGTTAACAATTTAAATTGGCTCCGTGCACTTTTTGTAATTTCTGCATTTAATTATTTCTGTAGGTCACTTGAGAAACTGTTAATACTGTTCAATGAAATGGCGACCATACATAGTAGGCATTTTAAGCCAAGTATGAATGGAGATGAGTGTAGGATGAGTGGCGCGATCTTGTAGTCTTGTTAGTGACTAAGGACGACATTCCTTAGACACAGCTGTTAATTAATAGCCCATACAGCTAATGGCAACTAAGGGACCTACAGTTTATAGTGGAATCCAAACCACATTTTTCCTTGGTATATACGAATTGGTCTAATTATCAGAATAGTACTGCGGATAGCTGTAGTACTCACTCGTGCGGACGTTAATCCACACCAGGGAGTATCGCATCCACAGTGCATGCCTATAAATATCCACAATTCGTGACCTCCTAGTAGCTGGATTACAGGACGATGCCACCCGTCTCAACCTATAACTCAAAATTTACATACTATATGAAAGTACATAAAGACAGGGGTTGGTGTAGTAATCATTACAGAAAATTTTGGTAAAGAATCTTATTTTTTCAGGTATCTGTACAGAGATAAAAAAATTGTTGGTATCGACACATCACTATTTTTAAGAAGTTATTGATAAATTGCAGGTTTAAGGATTACTAAATACCTTGGAGGAGTTTGAAATATATATGGACATAAAAACCAGGGACAGCACACAAATTTTGAATGAAAAACTCAATTATGAATCCCATTATATTTTCAACACTACGTCACTACAATAGTCCTATATCAGCTGTTGATAACGCAGACGACAATCCAGAGTCCACGTCGGTCCTTAATAACCTGGTTCAGTCTACTTCCAGTCCTGCCCGCGGCAATGTACGTGCATAAGTTGATAGGCCTATCTGTTAGCTTGTATTTAATCGTTTCGTGTTTTGTGTTTGTGTTAAATTGTAACAACTCTGACGACACCTTTAAGAAGTGGATCCTTTTGTGTGCCTGACGATGGTGGAATTTAATAACCACCGAAACATGTAGCAAGTTTATTTTCGACACTACAAAACTGTCAAGGATTGTCTGACAAGGTACGTTTTTAACCATTATTTACGCAATCCTGGGGCTATAAAAATGAATTATAATTTAAGTATTAGTTTTTAATTTTCGGATTATTTAATCAGTAATATATACAAATTGAGTACTTGTGTCAGGCAATATTACAGTAATCATAAATTTTGTTTCTTTAACTGAGAATGCTCTTTCCGATAACTAAAATAGCGGTCTGTGTTAGCGCTAAAACAGCATTGCGAGAGTTGGCGCAAAACACGTTGGAAATTTTAGTATGAAAAGTACGAACTGAACTACCTGGATTTTTTTTTTACTCATGAATTACTCATGATTTTTTTCTGGTTGGCCTGGTGGACACCCTGGTTAAAACGTGATTCTCTTGACCGGTTGACCAAGGTTGACCCGATAATTTGGATTTTTATTTGATTGTGTGACTTTGGAATGTGAGTGGATTGAAACCGTTTGGTAATACGACTGTGAAATACCGTGATTCCGATAGTGGTGGTCTGACTGTTGCTGTTTACATACAACTGTAACTCATTTGATTTCCGTAGTTTCTTCTTCTTCAGCTTCTGATAAAATTTATGAAAAGGATTGGAACTGGAACTATTGGAAAATATAGAACAAAATATAACATCAACAATTGACATAACCAAACTAACAAACCGGGACTGAGAATTTTCCGAATTGAAAGAAGTTTAGTTTTAGTTTTGTTTAGTTTTAAATAAAAATGTATAGACCTACATCAACAAAGAAAACGAAGAGTTTAATATGGAAATGTTTTAGAAAACTTGACGACATTGAAAGCTAAATGTACTTTATTGCAAACTTGTGCTCAAGGTAGCAGTGTAGGTCTTAAGTTATATTTGATGAACCTTAATTTGTCAAATGTGATTAATTCATGTGTCCGGAGTACTAAAGATAGATAACTGATTGCAGATTAAGTTAAATAGCTAGGCCCAATGGTGTAAGTCACACCCTTGTTATCCTAACCAAGCCCTTACTTTTCATATGTTTTTTACTGTCCAAAAATATTAAAATTACTTAAATAAACCTTGAAAAGCTACAAAATATAAATTAGGCCCTTAGTCATTCTATGTATTTATGTCTATAGTATTTATTCCATTACAGTACCCAAATTATCTCAATTAATAATTTCATTGTTATGACATTTATTTACATTTTGTTTAGCCTACAGTGAAAACAAAAACAAGTAGGCTAGGCCTAGGCCTATTTTAAACCACTTGTATTTTTAATGCAGTTTATTGGAAAGAGATTGTAAGTTATGTAGGCTACTAAGCTACTTTACAATAGGCTTGAGCCTATTATCAAAGGCTTAAGATTTATTTTACTTAGCATTTTATTTTAAAAACTTACTGAGACCTTGATTTAATGTAAGAAGAAATGTCTACATGTAAGATGTAATTGCAACATTTGTGGTCTAGGGACTTAAAAACATAAAACATATCAAAACAAATTCCAGGTAAAGAAATTTAATGCACCATACAGTAAAGTAATTTTGATCTGATCAATAATATTGGTTTAATGTTACGATATATAAAAATGACATTAATTTATTAACCTTTCTATTAATTTATTAAATAACAGTGAACTATCCGAATCCGAACCTATTACAGTAGACTCCCTCTCATCCGGACTCCTCGCGACCGAGGCCAGTCCGGATAACGGGTTTTCCGGTTAAACCAACGTCCCCAACAACTCGTAAAAACGTGCCGTTTAAATGCGTATTTGACTTAAGTTTATCAGAGCATTGTATTTAGACACGTGATCACTCTTCTCAAATCTTTCCCACTAGAATGGTCTTTTCAGTACCGCCCACTTCCTGCCGATCTAGTCCGGTTAAATTGATGTGCTGATAAAAATTGTCCGGTTAAAAAGGTGTCATTTCTGCCAAGTGTATTCCGGTTAAACCGATGTCCGGTTAAAAGGTGTCCGGATAAGAGGGAGTCTACTGTACTATCCGATCCGAGCCATAAATATCCGATCCGAACTCAAATTCCGCTATCCGCACACCTCTAACTGTTTAATATAGTGATACCAGAAACAAAAGAACCCTGGGCCGTTTCGAGCCGCGCAGGTTTGAATGGTACGCCACACCTACCGGCGCGAACCACGTGATCTTTTCGTTTCTGCGCAGGTTGTTTTGTTCGTGGTATATCTATAGTAGATAAATTATTTATTTATTTATTTTTTTTTTTATTGAAATATACTTTCCCAAAAGCAATTATTGTTCTAGTGGGGCAATAAGTTCTCATGTTAGCAGTCTTGCAATGTGAATAATTCTAGTTCTACTACAGTTGATATTCTGGTGTTTAAAATTAACTTTAAGGCAGTTTAGAATAAATTAAGGATAAAGAATGGATGATCAAGCAAACATTAGTGTTCTTACATTTCATGCTTGGTCTCATAAGAGGGGAATATTTAAGTATTTTGTTACGTTTTCAGTATATTCTATTTCTCTTACGTAGGATCGTGTGACATCTCAGTATTATATCTGTCATCATAACTATACACTCTCATTAAGACAGTTGCATTGCATTCACCAAAAATATTCAAAGGATTGCGTTAATAGGTGATGGACCTTAACAGATAACTAAGACGAGCCGTCAGGTTCTAGGCATGGTGTAAGGAGGATACCTCACCCTACCAGAGGCGTGGGTGGACCTAGGGCACGAAGAACAAACATGCATTTTAGGTAAGGAGCTTCAGCAACATGATTGATAAGAAAATAACAGATTTATCCTTGTCATAGCTTTGTTTAAAAAATACAGTATATTCGCAGGGTGTCCAGCCGACCTGGAAAGCGGCAATTGTACGAGAATTTGGATTACCGGGAAAATATCCATGAGTTGTGTGCGTGAATTTTAGTAAAGAACCGAGAAATTTAAATAATAGAATAATCACCCTAAAATCCACCCAAAATTGCCAAATTTGTTTGTTGCATAGTTAAAATTGCAATAGTTTCCCACGAATAATGGACATTGCTGCGATCCTAAGAAATATCACTGGCGTTGTTGCGATAGTAGGAAATCATCACACTACGATTGCAGGAAATCATCACTAATTTTTAGGGGTGTGCGATGCATCAAAATTCCGACTTGATTTGATTCAATGCATCAAATCATGATTCGATTCAGTGGTGATAAAAAAAAAACAAGTCAATTCATGAGGGAGTCAGTGTCCATATACGAAAAACGCCTGTAGAAAGTCAATGCAATACCCGCAATACAGGAGTTTACTGTTGTTGCGTTTCCTTTGCTAAGGCGTTCTTATTTATTTAATTCTTTGCTTGTAAATATTGCTTTAATTGTTTTATAATTTTTTGTTTTGTCATTGCAAATGATGATAAGTTTTTTTAAGTGTAAGCAGTGTGAGACATGTTTTACTACAGTAGAGTCCGGCAAACTAGTACTCCAAAATGTGGACTGGAAGGGTGCCGAGTTTGTGAAATGCCAGGTTATAATAATAATAATATTAATAATCTTTATTGTCATTCAGCAACATAAAATTACAATAGACAACGTCAGAAGTCAGGACACAAATATGACATCATGCTTAAATCTATATCATCTTATGAAGCATTGAACATTTTGTTGCATAAACTGTACATATAGGCCTAATATTTAAATTTAAAATTCTACAATTGAATGCTCTTACACAAATTTATAAAAAACTTAAGTAAATAATACTTCAAAACTTAACTAAACAATTTGTAAATATTCAGGAAATTTGTAAAAAGATTTTTGGTCATACAGGCTGCCTCCTACATACATCCTCATACATCCTCCTGGGCTTTTCTTTGCCAAGTAAACACCCTGCTGGCCCTACAGATATTTCCCCAGTTAATATTTCCATATAATAAGTGCGTATGAAATTAACTGTGGTAAACAGAAAGGAGTGTGTGATTTGATACACAGTTTTTTAGTTTTCGCATAAAAAAACAAACTCGTGACATTTTAGATGTGATTTTAGATTTTAGATTTTAGATGATTTTAGATTACATTGTTGGTATGTTCTTCCCAAGTTAATTTTTTATCTAAGAAAATACCTTGCAATTTAATAAAATCTGGATTTTCAATTTGGTTTCTACGTAGTGTAAAACATATTTTCTCTGTCTTGTCACTATTAATTTCAAGAAAATTACTCTTAAACCAATTATTACCGATATCGATCATGTCATCAATTCCATGGATTGCTGTGTTAAGATCGTCAGAAGGCCAAATAAACAATGTGTCGTCTGCATATAGAACTGTTTTACAAGGCATAGCATTTGGCGAATCATTAATATATAATATAAAAATACTGGCCCAAGTACTGACCCCTGTAGCACCCCAGCAAGATCCCTCTTTAAAAGCTGATGTTTGTTTGCCGGAAGCTACATATTGTTGTCTGCCACAAAGGTAGGTTTAAAAAAAAATTAGTTCCTGGTGTTTTATACCATAAAAATCCAATTTCTGCAAAAGTATGGTGTGCAGAACTGAGTCAAAGGCCCTGCTGAGATCCACAAGGGCCAGACTCAGATAGTTGCCAGATTCAAATGTATCCAGAATATCTGACACTATGGATGTAACAGCTAAAGTTGTGGAGTACCCAGGTCGAAAGCCAAATTGTTTGCTATTCAGAATTTCATTATTTGATAAAAAATCAAAAAGCTGTATTTTAACACAATTTTCAATTATTTTTGAAAAAACTGGAACCATTGAAATGGCACGATAATTGGAAATGGAAGATATATCTCCTTTCATGAAAATTGGCACTGTTGCATATTTTCAGACAACCTGGAAATGTGGAATTTAATAAGGCAATATTAACTAGATAAGTTAAAGGTTCTAGAATGTATGGAGCTATATATTTGAAAATTTTGTTAGAAAAGCCATAAAAATCTTCAGAGTTAAAGGAACTAAGTGATCTTATAACTTTTAAAATTTCAATTAATGTTACCGGCTTCCAGGAAAAATTGGTATTAGAAACATTTTCCTTATCTAAAAAGTCGTAAAAATTTAACCCACTTCCCCCTCCATTAGAGAACTTGTCTAAAATTTGTTTTCCTACATCAATGTAATAGTCATTAAATTCGTCAGCTGTAATTGGTGGATTCAACTTTTCACTTTTAAAAAATAAATCACTTTCTGACTTAACAACTTTCCATGCAGCCTTACATTTGTTTTGTGAACTATTAATAAATTCCTCATTATATTTTATCTTAGCGGTTTTAATTCTAGCTTTATATTTGTTTTTTGTAAGATGATAGACATTTTTTTAGGATGTCATTGTTTTGATAAGCTGGTATTTTAGTCAAATCCTTGAGGAGTAACAGAGTATCCTTCATTTTCTTAAGTGACTCATCAAAAGGCAGGTTATTTTTTGTACCAACTTTGTAGTCCTTTCCTACTCTCTTAGATATACTAGGACAGTGATAGTTGTAACAATTCTGAATACAGTCAATGAAACATTTAAAAGCAACATTAACATCAGCAATCGGAAAAACCGGCTCCCAATTGATGACACTTAAACTATACAAAAGGTTATCGGGAACTAGGGTTAAAAATAAGGACAATTCAATTTTTAAGCTTTTTAACCACCGTTTTTTATATTACAAGTCAGTATTAAGTCATCAGATATGGTACAAAAAATCCTTGGTGAGAGTTGTGAATGATTTTACTTGAGCTGGCTTGAGTCCATGTTTAACTCGGACTCAAAATATCACTAATTTTCTGAGCCAGGTGATGGCCGAGTTATCCAGACTGCCGGGTTATCGAGTGCCGAGTTTACGGGACTCTACTGTACTGTAAACATAGCAAAAGAAAGTCACTCCAAAATCATTCTAAAAATAACACAAGTCTGAAAATTTTTTACTTGATACTTAACTAGTAAGATTGGTGTTTTAGACTGATAAATTTGGTATTTTTGTAGGTCTGCTATGGCTATGTATACTTTGTAGTTTGTAGGTCTAATTCTATCGTCTCATTTTATCAAGCAATTATTGAAAGCAATTATTGAAAGTTTCAGTATAAATAATGCAAATGTTTTTATTTGTTTACACCAAAACATATCTTTATTTGTAAAATCAATATTATATCCCTTTCAGACCCGGGAATCTTAGTCATCTCGACCGCCCGCTTTAAGTCCTGAGCAAATTTTGAATAAATGTTGGTTTTTAACCTAGATTTCAAATACTAAAATTATTGATTAGGTTTGTTTTAAAGACGAAACCTTCATAATACCATATTAACCATTTCAGTTTCAGCAATAATTAGCATCATATACGTTTAAAAACATAAATAAAACAGTCATTAACCTTAACAGTTGTCTCTTTCTCCTATCTTACCGTGACATTGCAACAAAACAATCAGTGTTACCATAAGACATGAAGGCAGACTGCAAAACAAAAATTCCCAGCTGATCTCCATAACCTACACAATCGATGCGTACAGGTCTGAGCAACAGAAAGATCCAGAAACTTCAAAAAAACAAATAAACACAATTGTGTTGGTTAGGTTGTCAGGACTTAAAAATTTACCTACACAAATGAGTGTGCTGGGTCTGAAAGGGATAAAATAGGTAACATGCTTAACAATATGATTCCGAAAGTAAAAATTATGAAATAGGCAAGTAAAGCAGCTCACTGACATTTCCAGCAATACAGTGGACTCCCTCTTATCCGGACTCCTGGGGACCAAGGCCAGTCCGGATATTGGGTTTTCCGGTTAAACTGACGTCCCCAAAAACTCGTTAAAACGGACTGTTTACTGTGATATTCGACTTAAGTATGAATAGAAAAATGCGGTATTGCTTCGAATGGAGTTGCATAGATTCAAATCGAAAATCTTTTTAATCAAATCGTTGCTTCACATTTTTTGCTGCTTCGCACACCCCTACTAATTTTGCCACAAAATCATCTTGCATGTACCCACGATCACAGAAAATCATCTTGCATGTCGTCGCGATTAAGGGGAATCGTCACAGATGTTTTCACGATAGCAGGATATCATCATAGATGTTGCTGTGATTGCGGAGAATCATCACTGATTTTGCTGCAATCGCAAGACATTATCATAGAATTCACCAAATACCGGTTTTCAATTGCAAACAAACAAGTAAGTTTTGCTTATTTGAGTGGAAAGTTTTGCCCTGGTAGAAATTTTGAACTGGGAATTGTCCATGAATTTTATTTTGATGGAACGCTGTACACCCTGAGTCGTGACCATCTAACCTAAACTGGTTGCACCAAGGTCGGATATCACAACAAAGATATAAAAAAATGATTGTGTAAATGTACAAAATCAATTTTAAACCTTTAAAATATTCCGGATTTTATTTATTAATGGGTCATTGGAAAGCTCACTACCTGTAGTTTTGCAAATAATCATGAAAGTTTGATTTGTTAGGAGTTATGGTGACAAAAGTTTTCCTTTGTTTGGATTTGAAAATAATTATGAAAGTTTTATTTTGTCAAAGATTTGTGATGAAAAAGTTAAAACACAAAAATACATTAAAAACCGTCTTTTTAAAGTTTCATTTGTAGCCAAATTTAGGCTGCCTTTATTGAGTACAGTAGACCCTCAGTAATCCGGCAGATATAGGACCGCCATACTGCCGGATTAGTGAAAATGCCGGATTACTGAAATGTTATCATTAAAAACACTTAAAATGCAATTAAAACACGTCTCTGAAGTTCGCGTGGTCGGAAACCGCTATTGCCGCGATCGGGCATGACAATTACATATTCGCGGGAGGCGATGATAACGTCTACACATCCGCGGGAGATAATCGTAAAATTGCCGCCATCGAGCATGACGTTTTTGTGACCGCGGGAGATGTTCATGATTTTGCCGCGATCGCTCAAGTCAACGATGACATTTCCGGGACTGCGGGAGTAGACAATGATGTTTACACGACCGCGGGAGATGATACAATTTTTGCTGCGGCCGTGGAAGACAACAATAGCGTCTACATGACCGCGGGAGATGTTCATGATTTTGCCACGATCGTGCTTGACGACGATGATGTTTCCGTGACCGCGGGAGGCGATGATAACGTCTATACGTCCGCGGGAGATGTTAATGATTTTGCCGCCATCGCGCAAAACGACGATGACGTTTCCGTGACCGCGGGAGTAGACAATGACATTTACACGGCCGCGAGAGATGATAAAATTTTTGCTGCGGCCGTGGAAGGCAACAATAATGTCTACATGACCGCAGGAGATGTTCATGATTTTGCCGCGATCGTGCTTGACGACGATGATGATGTTTCCGTGACCGCGGGAGGCGATGATAACATCTATACATCCGCGGGAAATGTTCGTGATTTTGCCGTGATCGTGCTTGACGACGATGACGTTTCCATGAACACGTGAGGGAATTATGATGTCTACACGGCCGCGGGAGATAATCAGAATTTTGCCGCGATCGCAGAAGACCTCCCGTTAAAAGACGCCGGATTACTGCAGTGCCGGAGTGGTGCAGTGCCGGATTAGAGAGGGTCCACTGTATTTTCAAGAAATGCATTGAAAGTAATTTTTATGAAATTTTCTTCTCTTTCAGAATACCACCTTCCACTTTGGTCGATTTCCTCACCATTTAAAAGCTATTTTCTAAAAAGCAAAGAAAAACCTCTAAATTTATGAAGGCGAGAAAAAACTGAATTAGAATTATTTTTGTTAAAATTTGTACAATTGAATCCACAGTTCTACTGGACCGTTTTTATTAATTAATAGGTCAATGGAAAGCTTCATCCGTGTAAATTTGCAAATAACTATTAAAGTTTGATTTTCTAACAAATTTTCTAGAGACCGTTGTATTTAACCACAACGCTGTTGCTAGTTTGTACACAAGATGTTACAATGGTGATTGCTTGCGACCAGTCACACTTTTCATCAATAGCCTCAAATTAAGAGTTATTTTAATATTTATTTATAATATTCATTTTACAAATAAAGATATGTTTTGGTGTAAACAAGTAAACACATTTGCATTATTTATTTATTTTATTCTACACTGAGCAAAAGTAACCTGTTGAACAATTGCAGTTCATCTGGTGGGCTGTCATCACTGTCGCCATCGTCTCGTGAGAGTGTTGACCCGATTGCAGAACTGTTGTCTCAGTTGTCCGGTGTACGACGGACAGCCGCGACATCAGGCTCCACACCGTCTCAGTTGCAACAACTACAGATGCAACTGCAGCTGGAGCGCACTCAGGTCAGGGTATGTACATGATGCACTCACTCCCAATAAACTCAATTATTATGCTATATTATATTATATTACTCAATATTCTTAAAAAAGAATGACCCTTGTATTATTATTATTATTATTGTTTATTAAAACACAAACAAAACAACTAAAATAGTTCTTTTTGACATTTAATAAATTTTCAAAACTGTTTATACAACAAACTTTTATGTTTATAAAAGTAGTTTGAAATATTATATAACTATAAAATTACACTTTAAACCAATCATATAGATGTAAAGCCACTCTTAGTTAAATTATCTTTCTCCTATGAAGAAAACCATTTCAAAAGTTTGTATTTAATATACTAATATAATCAATCACAGATAAACTGTAGAATTGTAATCATTCTACAATTCTACCTTACGTTCACATTTATAAAACAAATTGATTTCAATATATATGCAATGTTAAAAAAACCTAACAACGTCTAACGGTTGCTATCTTGGTGATGGTAGCCTATTTACTAGTTCTTGAGTAGGGGTAGTGGAATTTTATTTACCTCCTGAAACCTTAACAGCGACATTGTATTTTTTCCGCTCTACATATTGATACTCATTATTATTTTGATCAAAAGTTTAAGTTACAATTTAAAGTGTTAAATTTAACCAGGCATTAACAAACATGTCAATGTCGTTTTCTTCTTATTTGCTTTATAAATAATTATACAGTTTTTAAATTGTGAATTTGTTTCAAAGATATCTCCCCTTCCTCATGATGATAAAAATCTACTGTACAGGGGAGCCTTATTCTGACACTTATTATGTTTGTTAATCGCTGAAGGCTGCAAGACAGCAGTTAGAAAGACTGCCGCGGCGTCAGGCGCAAACTGCCAGTGCGGGCGCAACAGCCTCAGCCCCTCCCCACACTAGCCTACCTCCAGACACATCCTCTGGACAACACTCGTCAGCCACTAGCTCTTCCCAGCTCATGCTTACAAGGTAACACTAACAAACTTGACAATATCATACTCTTAATTTACTCATTTCTTTGTATAAAACAGTTTAAAGAAATCTTTTTTTATTTTTGTTTTTGGGGTGTCTGTAATAGTGATGTAAAACCATTTTTCAGGCTTTTCACATTTTAACATTTTACGGCCTGTATTTTAGAAGCATTATTTTAGGTATACAATAACTTTTCCATTTTCAGGGAGAGTCACACAAACCATATTTTTATGGTTGTAATAAATACATAAATTGATAGGTAAATTAGTTTAAGATAAAATATAACTGAACTTATTCATGAGTCAAAAACTAGAAACAAAAACAAGTTAAAAGTCAGCTGCAATTTAAAAAATGTTCAAAACATATCACTTCTTTCCACCAAGTTTAGGCTTCTTCAATTAACCTCCTCTGTGGCCGAAGGTCCTTGTTGATCTTCGCAGCTGAGGAGGTACATTCGGGTGTGGTAAAGCTTCTGCAGGGGATGTTCTAGGTCGTAGCTGACGAGGGACATTCGGATGTTGTGAAGCTACTGCAGGGAATGTTCTAGGGCTAGAAAATACAGCTGGTGATCCATGGTTTTCTGAATTCTGAACATGTACTTCTAGATTTTGTACTTGGAAATCTGAAAAAGACAGTAGCTGTGGTAATTGTTTAATGCAGGGGTCGTCTTTCTCTTCCGATTCATTGTCTTGGTAGCATTTCCGAATTTGACTTTTATGTCTTTTAGTGTGTCCATTAGAATCAATCAACCATGTGTTCCTACCTAACTGTCTAAGTATGGTTCCTATTTTCCATTTTACTTTCCCTTCAACAAAAGTATGAATGTACACTTTATTCCCAATAGAAAAGCCTCTGGTTTTATTATATCACAGCACTTCAGAAGGTTTATCCCTTGAGTAAAAAACCAGACTTCAGTCATCTCCGAGAGAAGGAGAATTATTATAGACAAAATTACAAACGAAATTATGATCAACGACATGGTGCTCAACCCTTATCAGATGTAAACCCAGGAACCAAAGTTTGGATATCTGATCTGAAACATGAAGGACAAGTCGTAGAAAAGTTAAACTCACCACGATCTTATAAAGTATTGACGGACAAAGGAACCATAGTTCGAAGAAACCGGTTCCACCTGCAACCAATCCATCAATCATCAACAAGTAGTCAGAAGGATCATCGATTCGAGGAAGACAACGGTATGTGCTTAACAAACTTTTCAACAGTTAACCGCAACCGTCGACCATTAACAAGTGGTCCGTTGGATCATCATGAAGACATGACAAACTTTTCAACGGTTCCTCCAAACACCTCTGGAATGTCTTCTGCTAACATAACAACCCGATCAAGACGGCTTATAAAACCTCCCCAGAAGCTCAACCTTTAAAGAGGGAGATGTAATGGTTGGCTCTACTGACTATTGTCATTCTAGTTTTATATTATCATGTGTTTATTGTTATTGTTTACTTCTTGTTTTGTACTAATGAAAGATTTGTAATTAAACTATTCTATTGTGATAAATTCTTATTTTCATTGGATTAATACAGGTTTAAAATAGGCCTAGGCCTAGCCTACTTGTTTTAGCGAATTTCCCTAAAGGGAAGTATAGCTATTACCGTAGGTCTCATGGTAAGACCTAAGCCCGGGACCGATTTACTTTTTCATTTTGATGTCCCCAGAGGCGAAAAACACCATTCGTTCAAATTTTTATATATCTATATATATATATGTCCATCCGCACGATAACTTAAGTAATTTTTGTCCGATTTTGATAAAATTTGGTTTGAAGGTGTAAGGCGGGATAAACTTGAATGAGTTCGCGAACCAGCATGATCGGACTATGGGAACGGGGGTTTATAGGGGGTTCTATGGGGTAAAAATAGGTTTTTTCCATTTTTGACCCTAAAAACACAAAATTTCACAATGTCTTTTTAAATCATTTTGTAGAGCTTAAAAAAACAAATAATTTAGTATATTGAAGCGTTATTATGCGCCTAATTGTTACGGAGAGAATTCAAAAAAATTGTAATTTTAAAATTCCCATGTTATTCTTATGGAGAACTAGCAGAGTACCCGTCCTTCGTACGGGGTTGGCATATAAGTATCAAATGCTTATAGCAGTTATGAGTGAGGACATGGTTTAAGAAATTTCGGTTCTTTTTGAAGTTCGTTCGCTACGCTCACTCACCTTAAGGTTGGAGCTCGTTCGCTGCGCTCACTTTCCTTCAGGTTAGCTCGTTCGCTACGCTCACTTGCCTTCAGGTTAGCTCGTTCGCTACGCTCACTCGCCTCCAGGTTGGAGTTCGTTCGCTACGCTCACTCACCTTTTGGTTGCAAATTAGCTGTTGTCATAAAAGTAAAAGAAATAATAGTGCTAGTGCTGCACCCTGTTGGTAATCCTTGTAACTTTAATGCTATTGAACATCACAGAACAGAACCAACTTGTTTAATTGAAACAGCTGTTAAGATTCAATAATTTCATTTCTCATAAGGTTAACATGGGAAACTCCAGAGCCACTGGGGCGGAGCCCGAAAGGGTTTTTGGGATAAAAATATGCCTATATGTTAATCGGGAATGTGAGCTATCATCATGCCAAATTTCAGCCCGATCCGACCAGTAGTTTTCGCGTTTACTTTTCCCATACACACCCACAGACACCACCTCTTTTTTATAATAGTATAGATAGATAGATAAGTCAACTGTTGTAGTTTGCTTGTTTATGAACATATTTTGATCGATTTTGGAAAATACTTTTATTTCTTAAACTATTATCATTTTATAAAAAAAATCTTTTTTACCCTCCCTGTTGCAGCAAACCAAAAGTACTCGTTAAACAAACTAATTCTATAGGAAATAAATGTGCTATTTTTATGGAGGAATTTTAGTGTAAATCCGATCAGGTTAATGGAAATTTGCTTAGTCTGCAGGTTTGCTGCGGCGGGGGTATTTGTTTTCACTGTAGGCTAAACAAATGTAAATAAATGTCATAACAATGACATTAATTGAGATAATTTAGGTACTGTAGGGGAATAAATACTTTAGACATAAATACATAAATAACCAAGGGCCTAATTTATGTTTTGTAGCCTTTCAAAATTTATTTAAGTTATTTTAATATTTGAGACTATGTGAGATGCTACTAGCTAGAGATACCCATGTTATTGGAACAGTCGATTACAAAAGAACAAATATGCCAGATGATTTTCCAAATATGGAACTGGAAAGAGGTGAAGCTGTAAGAAGCTGCAGTGGGGTATTAGCAATTACAGGGTGTCTACCAACCGGGAAATCCGGGAAAACCGGGAATTGTACTTAAATTTTTACTGGCCATGAAATGTACGGGAATTGTACTTAAATGCCAGACTACGTCCTTAAATTTTTAATGGGCCATAATTTTATTGATCGCTAGTTGGTTAGGAGCACATAAAAGGTTTATCAGATGTTTGTTTACATTTTCATAATTTATTACTAGAGTAATTATGCAATAAAAATCCCATTAACAATCTCAAACCCATTAATATTTTATCACGACAATCAAGTTTCAAGTTAAGTACTTCCAAGAACTGTTGACTCAGCAGCTAGCTCATAAAAGTTGTGTCACTTTTATCCCTTTACAACTTCTTTTTTTATTACTAGGGTAATTATTATTAGATCCCAAACCTATTTTATCGTGAAAATAATAGCTTTATAATGGCTGTTAAATTTCACTTCTTACTTGTACTTTCTGAAGATTCAATTTGCCGCGGCCAGTGCCTAGTGCCATAAAACTGTTTATGGTTTCATATTAAACATGTAAATAATCTACAGTCTTATTTTGTAAGTTAACCCCTTTTTTATGGACAAAACCTTCAATTGACAAAACCACAAGCATTGTTGTTTGCATTAATGTTTTATCACTATGTAAGACTGCTTGGTTTCAAATTATGTCATTGCATTTTCTGTATCTTTGTATTATATTGTTGGCTATTCAGGTTTCAATGTTTTTTGTTTCCCATATATTTATTTATTGAGTTGTATGCTTTAAGCAATCGAAATCTTATGAACTAGAATGATGATAGTGACTTTGCTGCTATTATAACCTCATTGTTTGTTACTCAGTTTATATAGGCCCTCCTAAATAATTAGGTCTAGGCCTGGGTAATTTGACTCTTGAAAGAGCTGTAAAATATATTAAGAAAATGTAATTGAGCCTAAGATAAACAACTAATGATTGCTATGTGTCGATATTACTTTGCAAATGAAAATACAATAATCCATACCTTGATTTTGTACTAAGAATTGAGTAACAATATGCATTAAAGATGTTTTTCAAACGTAGTCAAGAACCTAACGTTGTGCCAGGGCGAATCATGCCAAATTAATCGGCCTGGATCGGATAAGCTATGTTTTTTTACATGACCGATGGAGATATTTATCTCTATCGCAGGAGACAATGTTTGCATTTCTCTGTTACACTATACAAGCTTTACCTAAAGTATAGGTAGGCTTATGTTTGTTTACTTTCAATCAATTTCTATTTTGTAATTTTTAACTCTTATATGTTATTATTTACTTTTCTCTCTGGTACAACTACAGTGAATAACAAGATTAATACAGTTTGACAAATCAGGAAAATTATTCTGTAGGCATAATGACACCGACAAAGATTACGGCAAAGTGTCCTTAAATGTACGGGAATTGTCCATGAATTTTTTATCCAGCATGTAGTAGACACCCTGAATTAGATGGCTTGATAAAAAATATGTACACGTTTTGTCAACAATCCATGAAGGTGTTCAGTTTGCTGTTGATAAAGAAATACAGTAGAGTCCCGCAAACTCGGCGTAACGTGGACTGAAAGGGTGCCGAGTTTGTGAAATGCCGGATTATCGGGAACTAGGGTTAAAAATAAGAGCAATACAGTTTCTAAGCTTTTTAACCGCCTTTTTTATTTATATTTGTATTACAAGTCAGTATTAAGTCATCAGATAAAGTACAACAAATCCTTAGTACCAGTTTA